CTTAGTAAATGTTTTTCTTGAGAAATCTCTCCAAGTGGCATCTCCTCACAAAAGCAGCACAATGTAACCATGTCTTTATTACTGCTACTACTGAGCAGCTTGGCTTGCCCCGTGCTTTTATTTTATAGTAGCTTTGATTACACTTTTCTCGATAAAGTCTGCATCTGACAGCATGGAACACATTTATCTCAAATATGGAAAGAAGTAACAGTAATAGGATCTCCTGCTTATATGTGAGAGAGTGAATGAGAGCATAACAAATTCACCTACGCCATTATCTCTCTGAACAAAGCCAGAATTTCAGCTGCAGTGACCTTGTGGTCACAAAGATCACAAATCTCAACACAGAAGATGTGGAAAGAAAAAGGCTTTAGTTAGGCAGGTGTACATTGTTACAATACATCCTGCAGTTGTTATATATCCAAAACTAGCTCTCTTAAGACAGAAATCAGGCTTCCCCTTATGTTGGTCAATAGTTTACAAAATACAGCTGACAATAATTCACATTTTTGTTCAATAGCAGTAAGGGAAATATCTCTCCATTTGAAGACCTAGAAGCCAGGAAGAAAATAAAGTGCTAAAAATACAGACATTACAAACTTGCCCAGATGAATTTGGCACAGCTCTGCACAACATACAAGAGAAGTCTTTTTTGAAGGGAGTGGCAGCTGAGGTCCAACAGAATTTAGTAATATTAACAGTAAAGTTGTGGCAAACTTGATTGTAAGAAAAATCAAGATTCAAACACATTTAGAGAAATATACTTTGTATAACTAAACTAATAGAAAAGTTCCTATATAACAAATTAGTAATACATCCAATTTTATTTGCTTTTGTCATTATAAACCAAGTTATACTCTGTCTGGACTGAGCTTTGAGACCTAAAAGAGATCCCTGTGTTGCAGGGATTCCGAAGCTCCAAAAGAGATCACAACCACATTTAGGTTCTTTCCAGTCGGTAAAGGCACAGATATATCCCCATAGTTTTGAAACTCACAGCTCAGACCTCCAGCTCATGGAATATCATGTAGTCATCAACACTACCAGAACTAAAAGTACATAGCTCTGCTCTGAACACCAATCTAGATCTGTGCTGCTCTTCACATCCAACTTTTTATGCCACCTTGTTAAGGACTATGTGAGTACATAATGTAATTTAGAAGAGCTTTCCTGTTCATAAAGCTATGGCATCTCTTGAGGAGATAATATTTGTTCTGGGGATCAACAGGCACTATAACTGAAATTAAAGATGACTTTTTCATCTAAAAAATCCTTCTTAAGCCTGATTGACTTAGTGTCCTATACAAAATCTAGAGTTTGGAGCAAAAACAGAGAACACAGAGCCATGGTGCTGCTGACAGGAAAAGACAGTTATTGGAGGGTTTTATCCAATTTGATCCTACTCACAGTATATATATCTCAATTTCACACCATGTTTTAATAAAAGTAAGCTTTTATGAATATCCACTACTACTTACTGTAATAGATCCTAGGACTGAGAAACCTTCACACTAAGAAGTAGGACCTAGGTGTTAAAATAATTCTCATTAAGCAACATAAAATTCAGGGAAACATATTTCAAGGCCCACTGAGTGAAAAGAACCAGAACACAGTATCAGCAGCTAGGAATTTATTAATTTCCCTTAGGTAACAACAGCCACTTTCATGAACAGGTTACAAAGAACGTAATTCTGCAGATCAGGCAGATGTGTAAGCTCCATGTAATTTGGCCACTTAAGCATCAGAAGTGCCATGAACAGTGTAAAAACTGATACCAAAGTGGCAAGGCATCAGTCATCTTCATGCTGTGCCCTGCCCCTCCCAGGAATTTTTGATGTTGGCTATTTTGAATGGTAAGTTTTTCGAGAGCCTCCAGATCCCAATGCTTCATTTCATTTCCCTGAGGACATTAGACTGAGGGAAAGTCCGAAACACAGGACTTCTTACTAAAGTTGCCTTTATGCAACTTCATATTTCAAAGAAATAATAAACAATGCCAAAAGCTCTATTATAAGAATAAGAAAAGTATCTCAGGAAATCTTTTTCCTTTGCAAGGCTAATAAATACAATATTTTAGGTATGCTATCCAGACCACAGTCCCATAATATGCTGAAAGGAAGCAAAGAAGCATAAAAGGTAGAATGGTGTTTTTATTACATTTTAATTCTTTCAAATAGTTTAACTGTTTAACTTCTTTGGGTTTATTTTTTGTTTTGTTTTGTTTTGGGTTTAGGGTTTTTTTTTGTGATATGGTCTACAGTCCAAATCTCATAAATGAGAATATAATTATATAGTACAGGAATCATCACTACAAACCTAGCCAAGAAGACAGGTTTTTTTCCGGGGATTATTTCTCAGCAAAGGATCAAAATCCCAGACCCATTAAATTAGGGGGAAATTCATTGTGTGAAAGTGAGGAGGGCTGGATTTTTCTGGCCCATACAATACTGCAAACATGACCACAACCACTGAGTGCCTGCCTTGGGATGAAAAAAGTATTGAGTTTACAAAAGCTACCTATCTCCTTGCAAAAGCAAATACCACAAAGGCTGCTCCACTCCACTATTCACTGTTGAATGTTTTAATTCATGTGGGCTCTGGCTCTCTGTTGTCACTCCTTCACACATGTGCTTAATTTGACATACAGAGCCAAAGATTAGTTCCACTGAAGTCCTGTGATTTGCTTAGCGGTAGGATGAGAAAACTCCCTCTGGCTTCAAGTGTGAAAGATCAGACACTGAAGGATCAAACTTTATAGCAAGTAGGGTCAAGCAGCAAGCTCCCAATCCTCAATATGAGCACTGGTTTTTATTATCTATCGCTGCTCTGCTCTGGAGGACTCTTTCCAGCGTGACAGTTCCTCGTGATTTCTGAATGGCTGTTATCAGATCACAGCTTTACACTGAAGCTGTTTATAAATGTTCCTTATGACATTGCCTTTTTCTTTTTTCTTTTTTTTTTTTATCAAGCCATTTTTCCACCATGAAACAGGACATTTATTGTTCATATATAAGAGGCAATGAACCTGCAAAAGCAGCGTTCATAAAACCTGGAAACCTCCTCAACAAGCAGAGTGAATAACTGTGATGGACACTCATAAATCACTCCATATCATTCATCATAATTCCTGAAGTTTCATTAATTCCTAGAGGAAGACATAAATCTTATGTGCATCTTAAGGAGCCAGCAGGCTGGCTTGCTCTCCAGGCATAAAATAAATATGATGCTCTCTTCCTTACTGAGGAGATGCAGATTTTGCATGTGTGCACAGCAGGAAATTGATGTCACTCAAAATGTGGGGAAATCCTGGGCAGCCCTACAGGCATCACTTTGTTTTCAGAATGTGCAAATGCTCCATCCTAATCCTGCCCCCACTGAACTCAGTGAACCCTTTTTCCTATAAGGCTCTGGCAGAACTATATGTATAAAGCCTTTAATCCAGCTCTGCTTTTGAACAATCAGGGTAAGAGTGCAGATTTGATTTCCGGAACTGAGAGGCCACCAGTGCCTGGGCCAGTGGTGCAGATATCCTCTTGGAAAGGTCCTGAGCAGCTACACAGGATCTGGCTAACCTCTAACAGCTTGGAGGATCACAGAGATCACATAACAGCTAGCAGAATCCATCAAAAAAGGACAGCAACAAAATCTTTACTTTTAAAGCAGGCAAGCTGATATAAACAGAAAAAAGGAACCTTTGCAGCGAAGCCTGGTGCTATGCAAATTGCTCCCTGAAAATGCTAAAGCAAGTTTGACATCCTGTGGCCAGAGTCAGCATGGGAACAACTCACCTTTTCAAACCCTGGGCTTGATCACTCAGGAGATTATCCTGCTCCTGAGGGCATATATTTTTGTCTGAGGTGGGTATGACAGTCTTGTGAGTGAGTGTCCTGGAGGAAAGAATACAAATGTGTGCACTAAATATTTCTGTCAGGGGATGAATAGGGGCTGAAAGAGAGCAATATCACTTGAAAGCCCACAGGACATCAGAGGATAAACACAGGATGGGTCCCAGAAAGTCTGGGTGACTCCTCTGCTTGAGGTTACCCCCTGCCCTCAAAGAGGTATACAGATATAAATGGGGGACCAGAGACTGGGGGAAGAAAAACAAAAGAAAATAAACTAGAGCATGGGAAAACTAGTTTCTCCTAAGAAAAATGGGTGCAGTCTGGAATGTAAATATCTCTGAAAAGATAATTTAGTCATAATCAAAAAGTCTGTTTAAAAGTCTGCTGCTTTTTTTTTCCCAGCCCACATTTTCCAAAAGAAAGAAAAGCTGTCTTTAAAATATCTCTGCTAATTGTTATGAAACAATCACATGTAGCAATCTTGGCTTATTGATGCACATCCAACACACCACATCAATCTCTGTAAGCCTTTCCTAAGGTTTGTGCCTGTAGTTTGGAAGAACTGATTGTACAGCAAAGATAACAAGGCAATTTTTTAAAACCTAATTTGTAACAAATTATTTCTGTGGAAAGAGCAAATGATAACAAAAGGATAACTCTAGATTTATGGAATTGAGGTAAGACCCAGCATTCCAGCTACACAATATCTTGGGATAAGTCATGTCTACACAATTTTTAGAAGATTGGCTTTGAACTTTCAAGATCATTGGCATACATTTTACATAGAATAGATTTATTGATAGGTTTATTAAGATAGAATGAGTATTTATATACTCTTGTTTTCCAGAGCAAACAAAATTCATAAAAGATATCCAAAGTATAGTATATGCTCAACCATGACAAGCTTTTCAGGTTACACAAACAGCCTTTGAATCAGGCCAAAAAATGGCTATGTAGGTAAAATAACCCATTTCCTCATAATCTTCAAAATATTCACCCACTGTGAGCTGCTTTCTAGTGCTTATGCTGGAGGCAGATATAAATCTCCTACCATTTTTGAATGGCAGTGAGTTTGATTTTACAAAGCAATTATTTTTATTTTTCAACAACCATTATTTCAACCTTTTAAAAACACTGTATTTTATTCTCCCCTAGAATATGCAGAAGGCGGCTAAAAATGAGAGATAAATTCCAATAGTGAGGACACAAGGCAATGAAGCCCTTTGAGGACTGGACTACTTCATCATGTAAGTGGGTCTTGTGGGGTTGTTTATTTGTTTGTTTGCCTGTTGTGTTTTTTTCCAGTTGATTTCAGAATATCATGGGTCTGTTCATCTTGTCCTTATCACTCTCTATGACTTCCTGAAAGGTGGGTCTCACTCTCCTCTCTCAGGACTAGCAACAGGACAAGAGGAAATGGCCTCAAACTCTGCTAGAGGAGGTTCAAGCTGGACATCAGGAAGAATTCCTTCACTGAAAGGGTGGTCAGGGATTAAAATGGGCTGAGAGGGAGCTGGTGGAATCATCCCTGGAAGTGTTCAAGGAACACTTGGTGCTTTGTGGCACTTGGTGCTGTGGTTTAGTTGACAAGCTGGTGTTTGGACAAGGGTTGGACAGGACAAACTTGGAGGTCTTTTCTCTAACCCTAATGATTCCATACTGATGTTCAGCCCAAAGCAAATTCCTAACTGGAAGTTTTAACTGTCAGAATAAAAAGTTATTAAGGATAGGAAAGAACCTGGTCAACTCTATTCCAGGTCAGCATAAAATAGGCTTTAACTCTTCACAAGGAAGACAGAAGAACAGCACAACTCTTTGTATTTAGTTTACTCATTGAAAAATACATTCAATTAGGCATTAATCTAAACAAAAACATCTAATATATGCTAACTAAAGATGGAGAGATACTCCAGATGTAACAACACACTTGTGAAAACGTCTGCTTCTTTATAAGGTTTTTCACTTATTTAATTTTTTAATAATTTTTAATAATTTCATATTAGAAAATTATTATGTGCACATCCTTACCATTATCCCTACAGTTGAAAATATAAATTAGGGTAATCAGTGGAGACAGGTGAGTCTTGTTTTACCCAGCAATGCTCAGTCACTGCTACTCCAGCTTGTGCAATGATGAATTATTTTGACCCTCTGTAGTTAAAGCGGAGCTTCAGCTGTGCACTTGGAAATCAGACCACTGTCAGAGCCCGGGTTTCTTTATCAGGTGTGCAAACACACAGGCACACTCTTTACTTTGCAAAGGTAGTTGGTGGCAATTACAATCAGAGAGGGGATTGCTGTGCCACTCCAAATTTGTGAGCTGTTATTCATCAATACTTGCACCAGGAAACATTAGATTATTCTGCAAGATGCTGAAAGTTCCTGTTGATTGAAATTATTTAAGGGTGCCAAATCAAGGCTTTTCTCTCTGCTGTACCACACCTGTTCAATTTCTCTTTCATTGTTATCACAACTGCAACAAAATAAGCGCATCATGTACAAAAGGCCCCACTAACAAAGATGAGAATTTGGTTTGCAAACTACCTTGATTTGTGGAGTAAAAATCTCAAGAGTACTTATATGTAACTTTCAAACAGAACCTTAGAACCACCTTAGACAGCTGAAGAGCAGCTTAGAACCAGAATTTTGTGCAGGAATGCAGGCAAAATTTTAGGTAAACCAAGATCTTTAAGAAGCAGCCTTGCATCAAATACACGTTGTTCAAATATGCGACCATAAAAGCCACATTTTCTAAAAGGTCACGGTCCTATTGCATGCCATTGTCATTCCTCCTCTCATGATATTCACATTCCCTCTAAAGTCTTGCCCCTCCAGCCTTCCATGCTGAGCATGTCTCTGCCAGACATTGGCGCTACCTTTGCCACCGAGCACACGCACTGGCTGGTGCCTTTCTCATCCGACGCCTTTCCCCACAACAAAAAATCCATGGGCAGCAGCTGCTGGACAAGCCAGCTAGCAAAACTGGAAGTGAGGGAAGTGGGGTGGACTGAGGGGTCTGTTTTGGAGGGCAGTACTCCTGTAGCTCCAGTGGTTATGGTTTAAGTATCTTCTGTAGGAGTACAAAGACCTTTTAAGGCATAATCCAGCCTGTGTCCGTTTTGAGAGGCTTGGCTTTATCTATGCATGGAGCTATGCTTGTTTATGGATGTTTAGCTTGTGAGAGACTGCTTCTGCTCCCTGGCTGGGTGTCTGAAGTTTTATAATGAGACTAGTGATCACATGCAGTATAAATAACAAAGACCTCTCCAGATGCATACTGAGGCCTGCATGCATTTATGCAATCAAAGCAAAGCATTGAGGGGGAAAAAAATCAATAAAAGCTTAGGAACAGTGAAAAACCTGGGCTCCAAATAAACAGAACCATTGCTGTGCTAATAGATATTTTCCAGGAGGTCGAATCTTGCTATTATATCATACCCAAAATACAGCAGGAGTTGTTCCATGTGCTGACATCTGGCTGTAACAGCATGACCTCTGATACCATGCAGTACATAACCTCAGTGCAGGCTGGGAAGAAATTAGGAACATGACTCCACAGAAAATAGGACTAATATTCATTGGCTTATAGAATGGGAGTGAAGGGTGATTTAAATGCAAAATATCAGCAGTGAAATCTTGGTGTATTTAGAGTTGGCCTATTTAGCTATTTAACTGACAGCTGGTGATTAATGTAGATATAAAACTTTGAAATGTCTTTCTCTTGGAATACAAAGTTGATAGTGGTTTATGTTTCAGGTTTTTTGGTTGCTTTCTCAAATGAATTTCTAGAAGCTGAAGACCATGAATGGGAATGCTGAAATACAGCAGTTTTAAAAGCTTTCAGAATAGTCATGATAAGTGGTTTTAGACTTTAATTGAATCAACAGTAATAGTGAGGAACAATTGCTTTGATTTGTTATTCACCATATTTTGGACAACTTCTGTAACTGAATGATGGATTTGAGTGCATTTTTAAAAGTTAATTACCTGTTATCTCCATGATGCCACATGTTATACATTTTATTTTATTTTATTTCATTTTATTTTATTTTAATTTATTTATTTTTCCAGCACCTAGTACAGTTTTCTAATTGAACCACTGGGTGTCTTATTCAAATCACTATTTTTAATTATTGAAACATAGAAAATCAAGTATGATGCTTCAGCAATAAATTAGCATCACATTAGAGGGAAATAATCCGAACCTGTTCACTGAGATGTCGTTAGCTGATGACTTACTAACATGACTTTAATCTGAACAATTATGCCTGTTGAAATAACCAGTCCAGGTTTTCCAGCAGTTTGCAGGCAAGTTCAACAATAAACAAAGAAAGGTGACCAAACAGTCTAAGAGGAGAATTGGTCTTCTGTCAGGATCCAGCCCAATGCTCATTTAGGCAAGAGGGCACTTCATTTGTACTTCCACAGGCAATGGATCAGGGCCTTACTGAGAGATTTAAAGGAGGGAGAAGCCATCCTTTCTTGGTCATTGAATGAACTTCCAGTGGAGAACAATGAGGATGATGGCATTGTTTAACTCTGACAAGTTACAGGATACACTGAAAATAAAGCAAAAATACTCGACTTGCGTGCATGCTTCTGAACCTTGCCCAAAAAAGCCAGCATCAGGGCTAATCTCCCCACTGATAAACAGGCAGAGCCAGGTTACTGACTGGCACACAACTTTTAGGGCAGGCTACCTGCACAGCTTTCAAAATACTGACCATTCTTTTCTAGAGAGATTAAGGGGATATAAGAGAATTAGGAGATGGGCAGACAGGCTTTGACCTCAGCAGAGCAGACACCAGCTCAGCTGGAATAAAAGGGGGAAATGGGCCAGGGTCTTTCAGTGTTGCAGGCACTAACAAGCACAAGCTCCTGCTGCTGCTGGGTACCAGCAATGAGGGCTTACACACAACACTGCACAGAATCAAGACCTTTATCTACTTGCTAAGATAAAACCCTTGAAAAGCATTTGCTGTGTGTGATAACACAATTCAAGTTTGTGTGCTCTCTCATATTACAGCCAAACTCTCAGAAAGATGATACATCAGAGCATAATATACAGGGACATCCACTGAAAATGAGGCCTCATGAAATATGCATGTCTTTGCTGTGTGTTTTGTTCTCCATGCCATCTACTCCCTCTCCTAAGAAACTGCTCTGCTTTTGTTTGTGGGGATGTGAAATGCAGGGATATCCTGTTTAGCACAGAGCCACTCCACCTTAGCAGGATATCATGGGTGGCAGCTGAGAGCTGTGCCAGGACACTGCCCTGATCTGCCAAGACCCTGATGCAGCTGCAGGCTTGGTAGGTCAACACTTTTGCAGCCACTGTGAGATGCAAGTTTTAATCTGTTCCAACTCAAATGTTGATGTTTACTCCCCACGCTTTTCAATCCTAAACAATTATCTATGAAAAAACAAATTAGGTATGAGATTTCTCTCACCCTTCTGCAGTGTTTTGAAATTCCTTCTGCATTGTCTTTTGGTTTTCTGCTCCATCTTCTGCTCTTCCAACTGCTGCTTGGCAACACAGATTGCTGTGCAAAATATGAGCTCCTGAAGATTGCTCACTTCAATAAAATTTTAACCAGAGGCAAGAATGCAAAGTAATTGAAATGCAGTGTTTCAATAGCATAATTGTGGGTTTGGTTTGATTTTTCCATTGTGAGTGAAGGATTCTGTCTCATTAAAACAACACGGCTTCTGCCCAAGTGGACCAAGCCAGGCATGTGCAAGAACATGCAAGATGAAAGCCTTGCTGTTCTGGGGACTGCTGTGACACTTCCATTGCAAAAGGACACAATTCAGTGTTTGCCTTGCACACTGGCTCCTAAATCCCATCCAGTACCCTGCATGATGTTAACTCACACTGTTTAATGCTAAGCATAGGGGGTGTAGAGGACTTTAGTTACGAGCTAAAAGTCAGGATACATGAACTGTCCCCTGCAATACTCCTGGCAATTTAATTTGGCCTAGGGAAATTTTTGTCACCATTAGAGAACACAAAATGTGTTGGTTTCAAAGAGTCTTCACTACTCCTTCTGTGATACAAGGTTTTTCCCTTTGCATGATCAGCTTCTTTTTTCCCCTAAGAAATCAGTTTTTCATTCCATCTAAAGAATTACTTTGCAGAAAAAAAGCTGTTTTTCCACTTCTTTTCATTATATAATTTGCCTTTCAGATAGAGCTGGCATTAAAAAATAACCAGGCTTCATATGGGATAAAATAGCTGAGATGT